GGGGGGGGGGGGGGGTCAAATTTCTATAATCGCTTAACGGACACCGTGGATAGAAATCCCTGTGCAGTAGGGGGATCAATGACATATTTTCGTGACTAAATCCCCCCATTATTATTCCTATATATAACAGAAATCGAAATTGCCCTCCGGGGGGGGGGGGGGGGGGGGGGGGGGGCATGTGTCCGCTTTTTTTTTCAAGAAGACCCTTGGTCCCATATTCCATCAACGGCCATGCAGATTTCACGACCAAATTCGCTTGTGTGGCTTTTGCGGTGCGGGTTCCAAGATCCGCCCTACCCTACGCATATCGTGGCACTCGTCGAATATGTCTGTGAATTGATGCCGTGTTTTACGTTGTAACCCGTTGTCACATGTTGGATCCTGTTTCCTAACCCACTGATTCCCATGGGTATCCTGAGGGCGCCAAGAATGAGCTACGGACCTCAACTCGCCGTGAAATTGGCTGATGTTCGCCTGTACTGTAGTTGCAAGAGCAACTAACTGCGTTCTCACCCGGTATACTCTCTTATGCTCTCCGAATATTTCCCGTTTGCCCCGTCCGTCTTGTTGCTCGTGTTCAGCTCGCCTCAGTCGCCACTGTGTCCTTCCCTGACGTCTACGAGCAATTCCTTGACGGGACCGCCTTCCTAGGCTTCGACTTCGGGTGGATGCTGTCCGCCGGATGCTTCGTCAATATTGACTTTCACGACCGCGTCGTGACATCCACGGTCGGGCCACTGGTGGCTTTGGCCATCCTAGGGTTGACATACATCGTGGCGCGGTGTCGAAATCGCTCAAGTGACCAGGCTCTCCAGAATGTCCGCCGGAAGCACGTGTCCATGGCTTTGTTGGTATCGTTCCTGGTGTATTCGCCAGTTTCATCGACCATATTCCAGACGTTCTCTTGCGAAACGCTGGACGACGGAAAGACATATCTTCGTGTGGACTATCGCATCGACTGCGATTCTTCCAAACACCTGGCGATGGAGATATACGCGGGGCTGATGATCTTCGTGTACCCGATCGGAATTCCGCTCGTCTACGCAGCCCTGCTTTTTGGGGGACGTGACGCGCTGAAGATCGCGGCTNCGTGCACATTCGCCTTGTTGTTCGAAGCCCTCGCTCCGTACGACAGCAAATGGGACGCTTGGACTTCTCGATCCGGTCACGTGATCGTCCTGCTCAGTATTTTCGTCGCCTTACTACTCGAGCAACGTGTCACCGATGAGACGAGTGAGAGTCAAGATTTTTATGGAGGAGTTCTGTTGGGCATGAACGTCTCAATGGTTTTGGCGGTAGTAGTGCAGGGCATTATTATGGCTTGCTCTGCAACCCGACCAACTGAGTCACTGCTACCACGATCGGTGACTTCAGCGGCTGTCGGTTTCGATGTCGAACACAGCAGCAGCGAATTTGACGAACACGGCCGAAATCGCATTGCCAGTACTGCCCTCACACAGGATAACGAGTCGTTCCGCTCAGCTGTTGAGGACTTTTCTGGTATTGTTTCCAGGCGAGGTACGAGTTTCCGCCAGCGTTGACCGCCGGAAGGCCGTTGATGCCTTGCTACTCTGATCTCGAAGCGGTCGAAAGAGAGAGTGCTCCATGGGGTTGAGTTAGATTTTGTTATCCTGTATTCTTAGTTGAACGGATATAAGTAGTGGCTCACAACGGGAAGGTGGGTTGCTTTTTACACGGACAAAACTGAGTATGTTCCAAATCACTGGTTGTGGCAGCACCGAGGGCTTGACTGCGGTATGGTATTTTGTAGCACCCTTCGCCTCGGTGCTTTAGAGGTTGTGCATTAAATGTGTGCTGTACTGTAGTTGTAGCCTCTCGTGTTGGGGTGGTTTTGTGGGAATGGTTGTGCAGAAGTTCACAAACGCTCGCAGGAGGCAATCGTTCGAGCTTATGGTGCAGGTTTGCGATTGGGTTTGGGTTATTTTTGCTGAACGAAAGGGTGTCCCAGTTCCTCCGTCGCTAACTCTTGTTTCTGCTGACGGCAGGGTTGTTTCTGCTGACGGCAGGGCTGCGACCATGTTTGAAAATATTTCAAGCGGGGTTTCGCCTGCTCCCTGGCCGCAATTAGCGCGTCTTGGGGAAATTTTATGTTTTTTCCGTGTTGGTCGACGGTGGTGTTTTTTGTTTGTTTTTGTCTCCCCATCATTGGATTCTGTCGTTTGTCCCTCTGGCCCCTATCCTCCACTTCTACCAGCTAGTCGACCCAACCGGGGTCACATAGGAGGGGGGGGTTGAACCCCCTCTTGCGGTTCCTGCCTGAGATATTTTTATCGCGAGAAGGGTACAGCAATCCCTTCCCTTGCGACTTATGAAGTCGATCAAGTTTAACAACGAGCTTTGCAGCGCGTCGCTTCCAACGGAGACCAGGATTCAATTAGCGAGAAAAATATCACTCTGTCGGGACTCGAACCCATGACCTGGCCCTTAGCAGGCTACGAGGCTACCCACTAGACCACCGGGGCGACCGGTGTATCGGTTACTGTACTGTTCTGGGTCCAACCTTCTTTTTAACCCGCTTCAAAAGATTCTTCGATTGCACTGGGGATCAACTGCTTATTGAATGGGAACATATTTCCTACGTCCTCGCTGGCATCAAAGTCACCACGACGCAAACCAGCAACCCACCAGAGCCTCCAAGTCCACCAGATGCGCAGCAGCGAGCCGCTTTGCCATTTCTGGCACCCCAGACGATCAGCTTCCGTGACCCTCGATATTTGGAGCACTACTTGTATGCTCGGTGGCCTCTTGCGCGCAGCGAGGCGATTCCTTCTCGCGTCCGTCCTTGGAATGTTTACTTTCAACTTGAACCCTGAGCATAGACAGACTTGAAGCCCTTGGTTGGGGCCTTTGCATGGAATTCTGAACGTTTGGGTTTCGTGATGCGTGATCTGAAGGTGCTGCCCTCCGCGCTCAGGTGTTTCTAGCTGCGGAAAAGAAAATAATGTGCAGATGCCCGCTGAGTATTCCCTTACCCAGAGAAGGCTCCTAAACCTCACACATTAATAGGTTGTAAACCTCGAAAAGTCGTTTTAAATTTGGGGAGGAACCCGTCCTTGTGGCGGCAACGAAAGGCCAGTTGGAAGTTTCTCGTTTGAAACTATCCGGCAGGGTGTTGATGATGTGTATACATTGATTCAAAGCCATTTCAATAACAGGCAAAGGACTTCAACACACACACACGTTCAACCGAAGAACTCTTGCGATCACCCCCCAGGACGTATTCCCAGGATACCACGTCCCGGAGGGGAAGCTTATATGCATTTGTATGCCGGTCTATGTATATCATGTATCGCCTGCTTTATTGTGCTTCGTTCGGGGTAGCTAGGGGTGCGGGATGAGTTTGTTTGGGCACCCTTGCCACGGTGAGGGAACAAGTTTCCTCGCGAATGGGTTCGAGGTACATTCAGGTAAATATAGACTATATGAACTACGGCGGTAGTTCCTGCATTTTCTACCGAAACCAGCCGTGGCACTGTGCGGGACGACGTTGTTTGGGCACCCTTTCCACGGTGAGGGAACAAGTTTCCTCGCGAATGGGTTCGAGGTACATTCAGGTAAATATAGACTATATGAACTACGGCGGTAGTTCCTGCATTTTCTACCGAAACCAGCCGTGGCACTGTGCGGGACGACGTTGTTTGGGCACCCTTTCCACGGTGAGGGAACAAGTTTCCTCGCGAATGGGTTCGAGGTACATTCAGGTAAATATAGACTATATGTACTACGGCGGTAGTTCCTGCATTTTCTACCGAAACCAGCCGTGGCACTACCGAAGGTTGAGATTACAACGATGCAACCATGATAGATAGCCAGCCGTGGTCATGTCCTCTTGCGTCGCCTTCCGAAGGGGAGCCTTATACTTGAACAACCAATGTGTGTTGTGTGTTTTTTCACCCGTGTTATGGGATTTGAGTACAAGACTCTTAAGGCAGTTCTCGGCAAGGTATGTATGTAGTGACTGTTGCCATAATATATGGTAGGACGAAAACACACACACACTAGATCTACCCTCCTTACTGCTGCTTTTTCAACGAATGGTGGTCTTGGCAAAGGCACCAATCGACTCATCGTTGCTATCGCCAACCACTTGGCGCACGAAGCTTTTTGCCGGGAAAATTTTGACGACGAGAGGGCCTTAGTTCGCCTGAAAGCTTTTCATACTAACAGGATTCGGAGACGGTTTACCTTCGAGCTAGCTCGTTTTCTGTCGATGCGAACTCGCGATGTGTTCAAACGTCATGGGCTACTGATCGACCAACTTCCGCCAGGGCCAATCGGTTGGGATCTCTGCGACAACGATAGTGGTGAGGGTAATTCTTTTGGGAGTGACGAAGACGAAGGAAAGGGAAAGGGGAGAAAGGAGGATGACGACGATGGAGCAGAAAAACATGGAGGGGTGGAAGAGAGCAAAGGGTTTGAACCAGATGACCTTCCCCACAACAAGAAACGTAGGGCTAGGGAAGAACTGCCCAGAGATTCTTCTTGTCGAAATGAGGATCAGAATGATGGTAGCGAAAACAAGGAGGACACTGGTGAAAGTACTCCTAAACGAACTCGAGTACTAGGTAATAGCCTTG